TACTTGCATTTGTTGATCCAAAGTAACCAAAAGCCTTAATCACTTACTAGCCAAATCTAACATCCTCTTTCAAAAAGGTTACTTATTATACATTATGTAAGATATTGAATTATAAAGCAACAGAGTCACAGTTATCTGAACTAAACAATATGTAGTTAGTTGTACTCTCTAATATAAAAAGGTTTTTTAGAATCTCATATTCTATACTAAATAAAAAGTTTCTAGCTTAAAAAAGCTAAGTTTTAAAAAAAGTATAAATTATTAGAAAGAATTATAGCTAAAATTAGTTTATTTTCAGCCCAAAACTCTACTAAAGTAGGTTATTAGACCTCTTTTAGATTCAATATTGTAATATAAAATGTTAATATATTTGTAATAGAAAATATAGCTTTTTATTTTTATATTTAATTGCAACTATTTAATCTGTATATGCTTAGTTAACTAATTAGTTAACCAAAATTTAATTATATTCTGTTAATGAAATGAAGTATCAGTATTACAACTTTAATGAAATAGTATTTTAAAAAAATAGATTTCTAAAGTTAGCTTATAACAAACTAAATATAAATTAGTAATTAATTAAATTAATTTTTAATTTTATTTGATATAAAAATAATAGCTTCTAATAAACTTAAATTAATGAATGCTAACTTTTATATATTATTAATATATTTTTTCTTAAATTATATGTCAGATAGCTTTTGCTAATGATGATAAAATTTTATTATTTAGTAAAAGTTTCAACTTTTGAACATTATAGTAAACAAATCTTGTTTAAAACTACTTTTAGTAGATTTTCAATTTCAGTAAATACTTTTAGTACCATTCTAAATCCTATTATTCTAGGCTTAAATGATATTTGTAATTTATAATATTGTAACCAGATCAAATATGCAAGCTAAATAAATGCAAATAAAATAAAAATAAAACTAGCTCTTAGGCCCAGACAATGCTCCGGAGATAGGTTCTAAGGGTTTTAGACCTCAAGTTCTGTAATTATTTAATTTATAAATAAAAAATTAGATTAAAAATAATATAATATTTAATTTATAGTTTTCTAGCTTTCAGGCCCAGGTGATGCCTCAAGGCTAGGTCCTAAGTGTTTTGTTTTAAAATGTCAAAAATTTAATATAATATCTTTGTATTACATAATGGCATTATCAGAATCGCTTCTAGTGGAACACTTGATCTTATTTGATCTCAAACATTTAAAATAAAGCAATGCTTCTAAAAAACAATCAGGCAAATTTTAGGCAATCTTAATTATAAAAAATCTTGACTTGTTTAATTCGAATTAAATTCTCTATTGTAAAACAATATAAAAAAAAATTCGGGTAACAGTACTTTTTCAATAGAAAATAAACAACCAATAAAAACAAAGTTCCCATTACTACTAATACCAAAATAGTAAAAAAAGGATAACGGTAACCTTAATATTTCCAGGTACATTCATATAATGATCTACATGCAGCATAAATTATATTCTTGATATTTATATAATCCGCCAACCATAACTGGATCAAAAAAGTAACCCTAACTGGTACGTTCCCCCAAAATAGGAAAACATATAGGTCACAAAAAGTTGAACGGAGCCCCTCTCACATTTAATGTGATCATACTGGTACAGGCAATTGATCAAGTAATTACAGTAGTTTCAAACAATAAACGGCTAATAGATTTTTAATATTCGTGATCGTCGCATACTTGATACTGCATTTATTTAATTAATCTTATTAATCAATAATCAATTACATTATTTCAATTTACCATTTTAGGGTTTTTCAGTCAAGGTATAGAATATCATTATTAATCAACGAACACTTTCGTTATGCTCATCGCTTGGCATTTATCGATGATTGATTATCAGTTCATCAAACAGAAAAAAAATCCGGAAGAAATGTGAAAAATTAAAGTATAATAAAGTTACATGTAAAAGGAGACAGTCATAAAAAAACGAAACAAACAATGCTTAATTCGTTCACTTTGATAGTTTTATCTGTACTAACTTCTAGCCCTCGTATCTTGCTACTAGTAATTGCGATTACAATCGCAATACGTAGCATCTAGCATCTATCACTCACATAAAAATGGGGGTAAAAATTCCTTTTTTGGGTTTACAAAATGGCAACACAACGCACGGAAATTTGGTAGCAATTTTTTCATATATGGTAAAAAAAGTAAAAAATTATACCAAATGAAATCAAATATGATAAAGATAGTCATGCCAAACTTAAAAAGTGCTAATTATAAAGCATTAACAAATTAAGACCAAACCAAAATAGGAGTAGAAGCCGTAGTACACAAAATATAAAAAATATAAGCAATTTTGTTTTATAGGTTAATTAATTAAAGATTAGTCATTCATACATTCAATATCGATCAATTTTTTAATATAAGGGATGTGAATTTTTAGTTACTCTTTGAATATTTAAATTAAATTTGTCGTCAAAATTCATATCATTAACAATGCTCAGAACAATTTTCAGTAAAAAACATTATGTTTTTAATGATATTCCGGATCTTTCAGGCAAAGTAAGTTAAAAAGCTCTTAATGTTAAAGATTGCACACTTTACTATAATTTCTCATAAATAATTAATAATTCAGGTTGCAATAGTAACAGGTGCAAATGCTGGTATAGGAATCGTGACTGCTAGAGAATTAGCTCGCAAAAATGTTCATGTATTTGTTGCATGTCGTAGTAAAGAAAAAGGCGAATCAGCTGTAGAATTAATAAAAAAAGAAACAAACAATGATTCTGTTGAATTTTTGCAATTGGATCTACAAAGTTTAAATTCTGTTAAAAATGCTGCTGAAACTTTTTTGGCTAGAAAATTACCATTACATATTCTGTGAGCAAATGTTTCCTATTTTTGTTGATAATTTTCTAATTCAAAATTTAATATAACTTTTAATTACTTTATTCATAGAGTTAATAATGCCGGTATGTTGACACAGTAAGTTTTCTTTTCTTTCTTTTTCTTTTTACGTATTTCTCATGCAAAATTTATATCATTATTGTAATTTTTATATCTATATCAAAGAACATTTGGACTAACTCAAGATGGCATTCAAGACCAGTTTGGTGTTAACCATATTGGCCATTTTGTAAGTAAATGATTTATCTGACATCATGCTACATGATAATTTGTTAACAATACAATATATACTTGTAAAATATGTTAAATTGTCTCGTTGTCTATGTCGGCTAAATGAAATTAAATGAAATGAGCCGCACCAGAATATCTTTTTTTTTAAAAAGATGTTAATACGCATTTTATAAATTATGAAATAGCTTTTCACTCTCTTATTATTGCCAACCATCAAAGCATCTGCTCCATCACGTATTGTCAATGTTAGCAGGTTAGTTAAATTTACTTTTTGTAACAATATAATCATTGTATTAAATTTATGATATTTTTATCATAATAGCATTGCTCATAAGCTTACACCACCGGGAGGAATAGAATTTGACAAATTGAATGATCCGAATGCTCACACTGCTTTTCAAAGATATGCTCAGTCGAAACTTGCAAATATTTTATTTACCATTGAACTTAATAAAAGACTTTCGGGAACAAACGTTTATTGTAATTCTCTTCATCCAGGTAAAAAAAAAATTATTTCAGTATAATATTTTAAATTAGTATTTAGTTAAATGATATTTTTAATTGTCCGGAGCATAGAAAGGACGCTTAAATTCTATCAGTGATACAAAAGTTACGTTTTTGATACATTTATAGTAAGATTATCAAAAACGTAACTTATAATTTCAGTCTATTGCTACTTGTAACACAGTCTCATGTGATTTTGCTCCGGACTTCGGTTTTCTAGTTTGGTATTTTATAGTAAATTATTCTAACTTATAATACTATTTATTGTTATAATTACATTATAAATTAAATTAGGTGGCATAAATACAGAACTAACCACTAGTGTTCTTTCTAATTGGTTTTTTGGGCTAAAACCACTCGTCTCTATAATGTCATTACTTTTGTTGACACCTGATGATGGCGCGTTAACTCAGCTTTACTGTGCTACAAGTCCTGAAATTGAAGAAAAAAATTACCGTGGAAAATATTTTGAACCTTTTGGTGTGTTAGGTAAAACTAGTGATTTTGGTAACAATGAAGAATTGGCTAAAAAATTATGGGATTATTCGGAAAATCTTGTTAAAGAAAAGTTAGGTGATGACGTTCTTAGTAAATGTTTGGCTTAAATTATTCAATATCTGTAGTAAATTACTTTGTTGAAATGCGTTTTTGCATACTATATTATTTGTCTTTTTTTTTTTATATTACAGTTCACGCTCGTTAAGATGAACTCTCAATATTGGTTGGTTATGTTTCCTATACTATTAAACAAATACTGTCTGAATGAAATACTCTATAAATAAATTTAAAACCTAGAACCAAACTGGTCGCCAAGGTTAATTACATAATGGTTTTAATCTGTTAAATTGTTATCCAATTGTTTATTTTAGAGAGAATTTTATACTTTATAAATTCAGCTACTGTATTTAATTTAAACCAACAATCAGATCGTTTTAAGTCTCTTGATGTACCTATTCCGTTTTGATAACATCGATTTACATTATATATCCCGTCGGAATAATTAAGCTCGGCAGATTTTAAATAATTTTCAAAAGCCTTTCTTTCATCTCTTTTGACTCCAATTCCGCTTCGATAACAATAAGCGAAATTATTTATTCTGATAATATTTTTCATTTGGTCGATTTTTTAAAAATATTCGAACCCCATTTTTTCAAATTTTTTCCGATTCCTTTAAGATAACACCTGCCCAGTATTGCTTATCCTGTTCATAATTTTTATCTGCAGTTTTTAAATAATGTTCGAAAGCATTTTGTTCATCTTTTTCGATTCCTTGTTGATAACAATAACCAACACTATTTACTGTATTTCATGGGCATTTCCTATTTTTACTGATTGTTGATACCATTTGAAAGCCTCGCATTCATCCTTTTTTTTACTCCGATTCCATTTTGATAGCAATAACAAACATTAAAAGTTTCATCAATAACTTCCATTCCAGAATTTATGTAGCATTCGAAAGCTTTTGTCGGTTCCGTTTTCGTGTCACCAAACTTACTAATTCCACGTGAATTCACCATTTCCGCAGATTTTTGATATCATTTAAAGCTTTCTTTTCATCTTTTTGATTTCAATTCCGTTTCGTAACGATTTCTCAGTTCAAATAATTCGTTTGTATCCTCTATAAATAACTAACAAAAAATAATTTAAATATAAATTTTTTGAATAGTTTTGATATTTATGTAAATTCCTCGAAAAAGATTATCACCGTGTTCTACATTTCACATGACTTCGGTTTTTTTTTTGATTGGAAGTGTTTATGCACAAATATTTATGAATACGTATACTGTACTAAAATTTTTCTGACTACTTATAAAAACATCAAACAACTTGAACCAAGCATAACAGGAATGTATTACAGCAAACACCAGATTTATATAATTTTTCCGACACTCATTTTATCAACACCTGATTTTCCCGACAGCATTTTTTCCGAAACCAATTTTCCCGACAAAATATTTACCCAACAATATCATTTTCCCGACATAGTACATAAATGATTGTCAGAAGAAGCACTGTTGGTGAAATGATACAGTCGGATAAATATATTGTCGCGAAAATGGTTGTCGAGAAAATCATACTGTCGGCAAAATAATACTGTCGGGGAAATGAATGTCAGGAAAATGACGTCGGTAAAATCAGGTGTTGGTAAATGATCTAGAAACAATTCAAATAAACTATTATTAATGGTGGAATTAAGGTTAGGGTTAGGATTAGAATTGTGAAAACCATTTTTTATTAGTTATACAACAGAGGCTATTTTAATAAAATTTTATGATACAGTGAAGGTGCATCAAATAGTAATGTCTATAAAAAACTATTTATCAAGTTTGGTTTAAATAATTGTTAAGATATTTTATTTTAAAGTTTAAAAAAAATTTACTTAGAAACAATTTGCTTTGTTTCTACTGGCACACTCCATATACTACAGTAATAAGATACTATATCAACGATTAAATTCATTGTTCCGTTAGATACACTATTCAGTTTTCATTTAATTTATATTTACGTTATTTGGACCATTTGTTAACTACTATATAAATCTTCGTTCCCGGTTTCTAGCGAGACTGCGTCGCACAGCTTCCTTATTAATAGAATAATAATAAATAAATAAATAATAAATAAATAATAAATAATAATTAATAATAGACAAAATATAAGTAAATATTACGGACCATGATAAATTATAACATAAATCTTTTACGGACAGCTTTTCTACCAGTAGCAACCACAATCTCTTCCATATCTAAATCATTAATTGATTTGCTGATGTATTGTTCAGCACGTTCATAAACACAACCCCATTCACTTCTATAATCCTTTAGCATAAAACGTAAAAACCATAAAATCATGCTAGTGGTCCACAAGGTGGGATCATTCTTTAAAATATGATCTTTTTTACATTGACATATATACAATTCTAAAAGTTGTTTTTGAGATTCATAACCAAATAGATTGGCTAATTTGTCAGAAAGAGGAAAACTACCATCTGAAGCTTGTAAGGTGATAAGAACGTAAAACGTTGAACGATCAAAAGGTTTCTCCTTAAGATTGGCAAGGAAATCAAGAGAAGGTTTTGGAAAAGGTTCCACGGGGAAAAATTTAGCTTTATAATGAATCTGTCCCCGTCTAGTAAGTTTTATCCAGCTAAAAGTATAATGATTTAGTATAATGATTTAATATAATGATTTAGCATAATGATTTAACATTAAAGTTTATTTATTAATAAAAATTACTCTTACACATCGATACCACTAGTGCCTTCATAAACATCCTCAGAAACTTCTCTAACAAGTTCATGAGTAACTTCAAGATGGCAACTTCCAAGTGGTTTGTCTTTTATAAAAGTATTATAATTCATCATCTCCAACATAAACTTTTCACCAAGATCTCTAACAGGAAGATAGTGAACTTCATTCCATACTGGATTCATGTCATTTTGAATGAACTTTGTTTGAGCGATAATATCTTCATTATTACCCGAATAAAATACTCGAATATAAGGGTCAGATTTGCCTAGTTAATTTAATTAAATGATTTAATTAAATGATTTAATTAATTGATGATTTACATCAGGAAATTTTTAAATTGGTTGGCGATCGATTAACAGATAGAAATGTCAGTCGATAAGCAGCACCCATGTCGATTGCCAGCGATACAGATTAAAATCGATTATTGTGCTTTGCAAAAAAAGTGTGACCCTAGCGGATCATAAATCATGTAAAATCATGGAAATTTAGGCGATTGTTCGATTCTAAGAGAATTTAAAATAGAAATATTATTGATTGAATATATATTTAGAATCTCCAAAATTTCTCATTATCGTTATCATGAAATCGTAGGGAAATTTTTTGGAGCATGTGCTCCGGCTTAATTAATACCGGTCTTATTTACCCTGGTCTCTTTTCATTTAGTTATTGGATTTTTAATTTGCCTCCAAACTCCGAAGAACTGCAAGAAAACCCAAATAAATAAAATAAGAGCGGTTTGGTAGCTCAGTCGGTAGAGCGTGTTGCACTTTTTTGTAAAGCGTAATAATATTGATTAGTATCTCTTGATAGGAAATCGATTAACATCAAAACGAATTAAAGTTGATTAATTTTTTTTATCGATTATGATCTATTAGTAACAAATATCGATTATTCTAATTGATGGCAATCGCCCTTATAGCTGGTATAATCAATATCCACCTGATTTAAAAATTTCCCGATACTAATTTGAATGAGATCAATTATGTTGCATAATAACAATTTTAAATTTTTCGGAAATAATAAATATATTTACCACCGTACATGCAGTAAGTATTATCTATGACTTTAGCTTCTATTAATTCTAATCTAATCACACCAATGGCGGAATCATCTAATAACAGTAAATGAGAATTAATTTAAAAACAAAGAATGAAACTTAAAGATTAAAACTTTATAAGTATTAAATATATAAATTACAATTCTTCACAGGACAGGTCGGCAACATAATAAATTGAGAAGCCGAAGTATCTTTGAAATTTTTCAATAAATTTACAAGGACAATATGCTTGCTGGATTCTTTAACTTCAAGAACACATTTTGGTCGATTTTGTAATGCAATACGTCCTTCCTTGGTAAGAAACCACCTCTGATTATTAGCTTGATTTGAGCTTTTCCTGTGATAAAGACTGAGAAGTTGTTGTCCTGCTTCTACCATAAAAAAGATAGATTAACAAATTTTCCTGTTAGATTTACTAAACTTCCCAGTAAGGGAAATTATTTGGATAGATTTCATTGATAATCTTTACTATAATACACATGCTTATAAATAGTTCAAAATTTACAAATAATTACTTCAGAAAGATGAATTTAATCTATAAATATGAACCTACTGTTTTCAGCTTCCAGGCATAAGTTTGTTTGTTTATTAATCAACCAACCTTCTTCATAATGCCAAAGTTGATAAGCATCATGTTCTAAGTTACTTCTTTGTGGAGCAACCGAAACTTTTGATCCATCTTCAATCGCACTCCAAATCATGAAAAATCCACGTTCAACATCAACGACTAAGTTTTGACAAGAGTCAGGTGTGGAAGTACCTGAAGGTGAAGTAGCAGATTTTATGTAAAAATCGCCTTTAGGAAATCGCAGAGCCATTATTTATAGGTTAAATTGATAAAGGTCTCGAAAAAAAAAACCATAAAAAGAATTTAATTTAGTATTCATTAGAGGTGAAATTCATCATGAAATGGTTTAATTATTATATGATCTATAGAAAATTTTACCTCAAATTTTGAGTTAAACTTTAGGGTAGGATTTAGGGCTTAAAATAATGATTAATGGTTTTTTAGGGTGTTTTGAACATTTTTACTTAATATATGAATGTTTGATTTTCCAATTTGTTTTTTGAGAAACAGCATACCGGTGAATTTCACCTCTGATGAGAGTTAATATAGTTCAAATAAAAAAAATATATATATAATAAATTTTAGCGCAATAAATGAGTAAACAGTTTTCCGAAAAACAACAAAACTCCAAAATCTCGATTCAAAGAGGAATATTGAATAAAACCTTTTTGTAACGATAATTTAGAGTTTTTTTTTATGTTGATTGAAGCATAACATTTTGTACAATTTAAATCTTGTGCACTTTCTTGTGTTATCTATTTTCCTTTTTTAGAAAATTAGCTACAAAATGGGTGCTTAAAATAAGCTATTCGAGTCCATAAATATTTACTATCTAATTTTTAAAAAAAAGTTGTTGATCGAAGCGTTATCATGAATATATATAAAAAAAATACTTTATTTGCGTTTAGGGCGTGACTATAAACAAAGTGTTTTAATTTGACTAAACTTCAAAACTTAGAGCTCTAGAAGTTCTGTTTACATAGATTATTGTTTACATAAATTATTATTTACATAGATTATTATTTACATAGATTATTATATGGATTAGTTACAATTTTTAAAGTTTAAATTATTGACGAAGTAAAAATATTATATACGAGAATTACTTATACTGATATCCTCACAGGCTGAACAAAATGAATTTAATTTTTTATACTTATATTCTACAATGAAATCTGGAGCAAAGTGACGTGACGGGTCACATATATAAAACATAAAAAAAAGAAAATTTATTCTACTCAAATATAGGAATACAACACAGGTACGACTGTTTATACATAAATAGATAAATTAAGAAACAAAAAATAATGCTAGATATCTGAAAAAGTCTCTTTAAAAGACAAGTCAAATTCTTAATACAGTACAAGAAAAAAGGCTCTACGTAGTTTATTATTTACGATTCTATTAATATATCTCTCAATTATACGAGCTCATTAAGATCTTAATAGTTAGCTCGCACAAATTTAATATATTTACCAGAATCTACACGGAACAGTAACTATACTTCAATTTGCATTCAGTCTCAAAACGATTTATTTAAAGAAGTTTCTTTGTATCTATAAGAGTTTAAATTTTCAAAACTTGAAATACTTCAAATTCATCAATTAAAAGATTATTAGCATCAGCTCTGAGTCGTTTTACATAATATGCGGTATTATGAGCATAACGCCATGACTTAGTATCGTCATCCTTAAAGAAATAACCGCCGAAAACTGGTCCATAACCAAAATAACATCCAATTACACAGTCTTTATGAATAATCTTGCTAAGAATAGAATTAGGTAAACTTTGGGTTTTCAATGAAAAAATAAAACTATCAGTCGTTGATGACCATTTAATTTGATCATCATTTGACCAGATTAACGGATTATATCCACCAAGTATTTCATTTGTGTCTTTAACCTTTATAACAACCACAGTGCCAGGGATGTAATCGCATAATTTATGAAATGTTCCACGAGTAAATCCATCTCTACTTCCTCTAAGAAGTAAATTAAACTTGTAAGGAATTTTTGTAACATCATATATTGTCTGATGACGATCAATCCAAGATGAAATCTCTGCAAAATGTTCATCGTTAATAACGCATGATGGATTAATAAAGTGAACT